AAAAAAAAAAAAAAAAAAAAAAAAAAAAAAAAACAAAGTTGGGACTGTACCAAACACGTGGACGTTCTGTGTGTGGCGTACGTGCCTGTCGTCCGTCCGTCATGAATGCGTGCGCGAACGTCCGGGCTCGTCGACTCGTCGGAGGATGCTCGCTAGCTCGTTCACTTTGCTCGATCATGGGACAAAAGTCGAGCCTACGTCTCGTGGGAACGTAGAAGTCACGCTCGCTCAAAAACCATGCATCGTGCAACACGTATTAAACCGAGCGCGAACGGCTTCATGACGACTCGGCCGAAGAATCATTTCAAAGTACACCAAACGCCGGAAACGTTCTTTGAAATTATTAGTAAAAACTATAATATATGTATATAACAATGGTTAACACAGACTCAACGGTTGAGTGAGTACTTATTGTTATCGGTGCATTCTAAAAAATATCAGTGTGAGTTGAACACTACAGTGTCTATATAATCCTCAACGCGCATTGATGTTTATATCAAATATTATCATAGTCTTGTGGATTTAAAATCAATAACATTGAATCCACATCACGCTGATGTTAATATTACCATAGTGAGAATTATATAGACATCGCATGGTGTTAAATCCACGCCGATGTGTTTTAGAGTGCATCAGACCTTTATTAGACCTGAAGAATACACACAAATAGTAACAAACGCTCATCAACTGTTGAATTTGCTAAACGCTTAATAATTAAATATCTTTTTACACATGTACGATATATCGTACATACATCAAAAGAAAACAACACGAGCAATCTTATTGCTAGCAAATGTCAATCGTTTCTCCGATATTAATTAGTGAAAAACAAAGAAATTGGTTTTAAATTAGCTTTAAAGCAGTTGGCGATAAAAAGAATTACTAGAAAGCAATGAAAAAAAATAATGACTTCAAATCTCTCTATTACGATATGTATCGCGCGTTCTCGACTATCAAAATCACATAAAATCAGTTCGATTTGCAGAGACACGTACCATTCTCATTACCATAAATTCACATAACATCGATAATTCCGGCACTGATGACGGTGAGAAGGATAAGGATTACGATAAACGCGGTAACGACGGTATAATTAACTTGCTTTTTCTGCGCTCGTGCAGTCAATAATCGTCGCAATCTCGATTTCATGCGGGTATACATAGTAGTAGGATACATGATGCGCGAAGCCTCGATTATCTCATAATTCGTGAAAGTATCTCGCGCTTTTACGCGAGGAGAGTCGCGTACTTGCCGGATAGTAGAGACACACCGAGGTGTATAATCCGCATCGCTTATAGCCGCGTCGTTGGTCAGGTGCGCCGGTCTCACTTTCTTGGCTGAATGTGCATCCTGACACCGTGCACCTGCCCGCGCAGGCTGCCCCGTTTTATAGAAGGCTACTTTCTATATCGCCGATCTATCAAATTGGCCCTGGCAGATAAGAAATTAGGGGAAGCGGTCGTGCCTTAAAAGCGCCGTGACGGGACATCCCCGGCTGTTATTTGGTCAGCGTCACCCTCGTCTCGCTCACGGAATTTTACGGCTCTTCGGTTCGAAATCACCTGCTGCTCGCTATCATGAAGCAGCGTCCCTAACCGTTGCTCGAGCTATCGTCGCTTCCTCGAAACTACGTCGATTACCTCTTAACGATTTATTTTACACGATGCGTAAAATCGAGATTTCAGAGGCTTGAAGCGGAAGTGAACCGAATCCTAATTAATCCCGTCATTCCTAATAACCGCTTTTCGTTGTGAGAGAGATTTTATCTCACGTGTTCCTTTTTTTTTTGTTTCTCCAAACAAAAGCAAGCAGTCCGCTCGCTCGTGAATTCCATCGTTTCGTGTGCTCGAGGAAACATTTAAACGTTCGAGACATTCACATGTATTTACAGAAGGAGTAAAAAATAACTCGAGTGGCGGTGTCTTAAAAATGGAAACGCACGTTGTGGGATAATAACTTGATTACGCGGCGCACTTTTTATCAAAAAATCATAAAGCAATTAATAACGTTCATTAGAGGCGCGCGATAATAATTCCGTTTGATAGGTAATTAGACGAGGGAGCGAGTAATTGCGTTAATTGAGACCGAGACCGAGCGCACGTTGCGCAAAGCTTGGCTAGATATATGGAACCGTTCCACACGCACGCCGCAGTCCGTA